GGCAACCTGAATGGCAGACATGTTGTCAATGCAAAGAGGAGAAGCACCAGAGATGGGTGGCCAAACTCTGAGAACAAGTTGCAAAGAAACTTGATCTTGTTGAAATCACTTTTCTTGCTTGTTATGACTTCACATGTCTTGCATTCCTTTTCTCTATGTCATATTCGGATTCCTTGCATTCTCCTTTATAACTTTGTCTCTTGTTTCATCCTTATATCTGTTCTGGTTGTTGAGTTACATTACTTAGTGTAGTCAGCCACAGCTGGACTCTACTGGTGGATGATGGTGATCACATGATCTTCAGTTGCTCACTCTCATCCACCAGGTACTGTAATTCGCACCCTTCTAATGTTATTACTTGCTCACTCTCATCCATCAGCCCCTTGCTGGATTCTGCAGTGTTAACACTTTGATGCAAACTGAGGCCTACGATCAGAGACAATAGAGTCTGGTAGGCCGTAGTGGGTGAAAATGATGGTGTGGGTAATGTCCGCCACCCCCTCAGTGTCCACATCCAAAGTTGTAGGAGCAATGTGAGTCATCTTTGTGTAAGGGTCCACGTACGTTGCTATTGCATTGTATCCTCCTAACAAGGGGAGTTGCATGATAAGATCAACACCTGTAACTCCCCAAGGCTGCTCAGGCACGTCAAGAGGGTAAAGAAACAATACCAGATGCACTGGGGCTTGAGCCCTCTGGCAGGTATTGCACCCTTTCACATACTTTACAACAAATGAAGGCATCTGAGGCCACCAGAACTGACAGTCTACCAGCTCCAGTGTCCCATGAACACCTAAGTGACCTGCTGTTGGCGCATCATGGCACTGGTGTAAGACCTTCCACCTCAACTCCATTGTTGGCGGCGCATACACCCGTCCACAATACAGCACCAAACCATCCTGCTCCTCCCACTTCGCAAGACCGTTTTGTTAGCATTGCTCATGCAGCATAGGAGCTTAAAGTCTAACATAAATAGAATGTCCAAGACAGGGATTGAACCTGCAACCTCCTGACTATATACCAGGCGCTCTAAACAACTGAGCTACCTAGACGTTGGTGGCTCAGTGTATCAAGCATGTGTATAGGACTACCATGTGGAGTTGACAAGGAACTAGTGTCCTAACCACATCACCCACAGTCAGCACCTCTATCATATTGCTGACTTGGATATGTAGGCTTACACAGCTTAACACGTTTGCCAGCTTCCGTACTCCAGACTTCCGCAACTTGTTTAACCCCTTGAGTACCCCCGCTTCTCAATGACTCTCCTTCTTGATCTTCTCCTCCAACAGGTTGGAGAACAACGCGGCTGCAAGACGCTTGAACATCTCAGGCTTCAGAACAACCTGCTGTTGATTATCCTCGCCATTGTGAACCAAGTGGTGAGACATCCTTGACAGCGCATCTGCTTGACTGTTTGATTTCCCTGACAGGTAGTCAAGGGTGAAATTGAAGTGTAATAGGTACAGAGCCCATTGGGCTTGTTGTCGGGTGAGATCCTGTGCGGTGCGCCAATACTCCAGGTTCTTGTGATCTGTTGCAATCTCAAAGCCACCTGGAAGACCTTCCAGGTAATGCCGCCACTCCTTCAGGGCCTCAACAATTGCCAGCATCTCCTGGTCGTAGATCTGGTAGTTACATTTGTTAGCACTGCTTAATCCAGCAAGACTGGTGGATGAGAGTGAGCAACTGAAGTAGATTGAGAGTAAGATAAGTAAAGTACCTGGTGGATGAGAGTGAGCACCTGAAGGCTTAGTCAGCACTCTCAACCACCATCAGGGTCAAGTGTGGCTAAGGAAAGAAGTAGCTCTAGCTCAATAACTAAAATAGATATGAAGATGAACCAAGAGACAGAAGTATAGAGAGGAACTAGGAGAAACTGAATATCAAGAAAAGAGAATAATAGAAACAAATGTGAAGGAATAATCAAAGAAATACAATGATTTCAACAACGTTCTGCAAAGATCATCAATGAAAATTGAAACGCAATTGGATGCCAGAGCCCATCGTGCTGCTTCTGGAGAATGACCCCTCCAGTTGCATAGCTGGACGTGTCGACCTCAATCCTGGTGGGGAGCTCCGGCGACCAGGTGCACAGAATGGGCGCCAAAACAAACACATCTTTAAGAGCCTGGAAGGCCTTCTGCTGCTCCTTTTTTCACGTCCACGGTACATCCTTCCTTGTGAGATCGTTGAGCAGCTGTGCCAGTCTAGCAAACTGCGCAATGAAGCAACGGTAGAAGTTTGCAAAACCTAGAAAACCCCGTACATTCTTCAGCAAGCTCTTCGTGTCTATTTTCCACTCCTTCACCGCCTCTACCTTTGCCAGATCCATCGCTACATGTCCCTGGCGGATGATCAATCCCAGGTACTCAATCTGTGCTCTGGAAGGTGTTCTGATTCCGCCTCCAAAAAGACCTTTGAGTGATAACAATACTCCTCTGGGACCATCTGCTTGAACGTACGGGGCTTCTTCCACTTGGCTGCATGCTTTGCAATCTGCTGGGAGACTGTATAGTTTGCGCAAACCCACAGCTTATCCCCAAACTCCTCCATGTACCCAGCTCTGATCCACGCACGCCTTGTCTCTTGATTCCCTGTGAACCAATAGAGAGGTGGGTTGGTCAGCAGCTGCGGTCCTTCCTTCTTCTTCTTGCTCTCTACCTCTGCTCCTTGCTCCAAATCCAACTCCTCTGAGTCTTCTTCCAACACCGACTCCCCCGTTGGTATCCAACCCAAACCCTTGGGTTTCTCCACATCCTCCTCCTCCTTAGTCACCACATTCAACTTTTTCCTTGGTGGATCCTCCAGATCCAATGTTCCGTCCTTCCATCAAATGGTTGGGTTTGTTGAAATCGTTGTATTTCTTTGATTATTCCTTCACATTTGTTTCTATTATTCTCTTTTCTGGATATTCAGATTCTTCTGGTTCCTCTCTATACTTCTGTCTTCTGTTTCATCTTTATATCTGTTCTGGTTGTTGAGCTAGAGCTACTTCTTTCCTTAGCCACACTTGACTCTAATAGTGGTTGAGAGTGCTGACTAAGCCTTCAGGTGCTCACTCTCATCCACCAGGTACTTTACTTATCTTACTCTCAATCTACTTCAGTTGCTCACTCTTATCCACCAGTCTTGCTGGATTAAGCAGTGCTAACAGGGTTTGCCTTGCAAAGCCATGGTAAGCCCAGGATGACGTCATCAGCACCAATATTGGTAACAAGGAAGTTCAAGACCTGTGTCTGCCCATCAAGGGTCATCGTAAGGCAAGCGTAATGTGTGATGTTCCCAGCATCGTTGGGTGAGTTGTTAATGTTGAAGAGACAAAGGAGATGGCAAAGAGGGTGAGTGGTGACCCGGTGAGATGCAACAAACCTCCTTGAGATGAAGAGGCCTGTTGCTCCCAAATCAATCATAGCTGCTGTAACAGTGCTTTTGTTCAAGCCTCGGAGCGTAATCAGTACACAGAAATGTGAGGAGGGGTGTGACATTGCAATAGTACCAATTTTACATGAGGAGACAGAGTTGTATGCAGAACAAGAAGAGAAGCACTGTATGGGGGGTACATCTGTTGCGGCAACACGTACCCGGGCTAAAAAGACATGTCAGGGTTGGCAGCCATCTCCGCCTTGAGGATGGCAATCTAGTTGCGAAGAGCGGCAATACATTCTGCAGCGGGAGTTGTAGCAGAGGCAACAGGGGCAGCAATGGCGGCAGCTAGGCGACAAGGGGCGGCAGAAACTGCTTGAGGTGCACGACAAGTGGGAACTCCCGGAGCGGCTTGACAACAAGCTGAAAACTCCCTGTAGCATACAGCACAACGATGACCCGGCTTTCCGCAGCCTTTGCAGATATTGCACTTATAATTACCATTCCACTTGATGTGATCCCTTGACCCACACCTGTAACTCCGGCTGCCTATGGCACGCAAGAACTCCTTGGAAAGTGACAAGCAGAAGGCATTGACATAGAGGGAATTGATGTCCATGGCCATCATATCAACAGCTGCAGGGGCTGGAGCCTGCAGGGCAGGAGGCCTGAAGGTGTTGAAAAATCCACGACCACTTGTGGTAGTGTTTGTGCGCCCAAACCCAAATCCACCTTGATTCCTCAATCTCTCCTCCGCTCTCTCTAGATCTCTCATCTTCAGCCTCTCTCCGGCCAGGATTGCCAACCCAATCATTCCAGACAAGGTGTTCTGCTCTGCCAATGGAACAGCAACAAGCATGTCTTTCACCTCCGGGCTAAGATGACTCTTGAAGCGGCGGAGGTGGTTGGCGTTGGAGAGACCGGTCTGCAAGGCCAACTTGCAGAACTTTGCTGCGTACGGGGCAACCTCAAACCCTTGCTGAACCAAGCGCTTCATCTTCTGTAATGTGGCCTCCACCAAGTTGGCAGGTTTGAACAAGTGTTGGAACTTCACTATGAAGGTGTTCCAGGACATGCCAAAGGGGGGTGGCTCATTCCAGTTGCCACAATAGTTGACAAGCTACTTGCAAAAAGGGCGAGCCCAGGTGGCTGCCGGGCCTGTAAGATACAAAAGGGCGGCCTCAATCCACTTCTTGTGATTGGGAGTCCACTTGCCGTTTTGCAGGACATTGAGCATTGGCCTGGTGGCAAGCACGTACAAAGAAAACACAACAAGGAAGTTGCAAGCCGCAGGACCAAACTCGCCATTGAATGACTCAGGCGCCTTTACAGCTACCCGGTACAAACACTGGATGGCGGCGGCCTGGCTACAAATGAGCTGCTGCTGGTTTTCTGCGAGAACCTGCAGGATGTGGTCCTGTGCAGTAAGGGGTGGAGTCTGAGGCGGCGGCAGTTGCGTCTGTTGCTGCTGCTGTTGACCAATCAGGGTCTGTTGGGGATTGTTGTTGTCCATCAGTGGAGTGTGAGAGGTGGGAAGCTTGTCAATGGGGGTGGGTGTACGTGTGCTGTGTGTGTAGAAAGATGTATCAAGCAGTAGGGGTGTAACTGCGCGTAGGTCGTTGTAATCAGAGTCGCTGTCTGCGTCAAAGAGAACTCCGTCAAAACAGTTGGGGCAGGGCTGTGCGTTGCAAATGGTAAAGTTGTCATCGTTGTGGATGTATACATCTTTGTTTGTGGAGATCTCAACTGCGTGTACTTGGTGTGTGCAAACCGTTGTGTCAACTGGGTGGGCTCAACTGTATATAGTTGAGGGCACCAAAGGTTATCTTGACCTAATGTAGCAAAGCAAAATGTGAAGGGTTCAACCTGGAGCTAAGACTTGACAGGTCTGAAAGGATAGGGACAATCTGGAAGATATGGACGTAGACACAAAGTCAATATGAAGCTCTATTCCCAAAGACCAACAAGTTAGATTAGGAAAGCTAAACAACAACAGAATGAATACTCACCTATTCCCAAAGACCACAAAGAGGTCAAGATGGAAAAAGGGGGATATCAAAATACAAGCTACCATAAGTGAGAAAGTACATCACAAACTAAAGATGAGAACAATCACAAGGCACAGTCACAAGGCAATGGAGAACAACAGACAACAATCACAGGCTGATGGAAAGAAGAAACTCTGGAGAAACACAAAAGAGAGAAATAGACTAAGTCCCACTGCTTCTGAACAACACCCTTGACCACTTTATCACACCAGTCTACAACAGTAAGGGAAAGCCTCAAGAGGTTTTCAAGTACTTCCCCATAACTCCACATCTTGACACCATGTTTTGCAATTCAAGTTGCAACTGCTGAGCAACTCCTCTATTGTGCTCAGTACAAACCAATCGCCAATGCCATTGAAGATATCTTTGATTTGGTTTATTATTGCAAGCTCAAGCATTGGCTGGTTACCCTGAACAAGAAGATCTTCACTCATCGCTTCTTCAACCAGGATACAGATGTTGCACTTGGTCTGAGCGCAGACAGTGTTTGTCCATTCAAGAACAAGAAAAAAACATGCTGGCCCCTTATAATTTTCAACTACAACCTTCTTTCTTCTATCCAAATGCTTGTCTCCAACATTCTCTTCATTGGCCTCATCCCTGGACCTAAAGCACCCAATATTAGCATGTGTAAGCCT